AGCCAGGCATATCTCCTGCAACCGAAGCAAAAACGATTGGATGAGAGAGGAACCTACACCTACGATAAGGAGTTCGCTTCGCTGGATGAGATATTTGAAGCACTTGAGGAGAGCATCGTAGCAGCTGGACAGCAGTTTTGCAGCACGAATGCGTGTAGCAATGCTTAAAAGACAGAAGGAGTGTAACAACGACGGCGGCTCCTACACCAGCGAGCTGACATCAGACAGGGTAAGAGGTTGACCACCTGTAAGTGATGTCAAGAAATTGGCAACGAGTTGAAGAGGATCTCCCATGTCCAGCGACTACTCCGACGCAGGGCAGCACGCGCTCTACAGTCACAATTCGTATCGGAGGCTTCGGATCTTTGAGGGAAGTCTAGGGCAAAACAAACAATGATATTGGCTAGGGGGCAGCATATACGAGGATCGGCGAAAGAAGAGATACGACAGACTAGTCAGAGAGGCACCACCATCCGCACAAGCGTGGCTTGAAGTTTGGTCTTTCGGCGGTGCTGACGGAGGCGTGGTAGTGCAACAGCAGGACTGGTCTGAATGGAGAGGGCAGCGAGATGGACAGCATTCTCTGGGAACCGACGGAAGATAATCTCGAGTCTTCGAAGGAATAGGTTGAGAGCGTTGCCCATTGGATGAGTCGTGCAGCGCCGAGCAGTTCCAGATTGTTTGGCATCACTGGCCCATGAATTTCTCACGACAGAGATGTCTGAAGCAGCAGAAAAGCCAAGGGCTCGGGGGTGATGCCCGGGCGCCGTCAACTTAAGATCTCCGGTGTCTGGCAGAAGTAGGGCAAGCACGAATGCATAACATCACCCCGCTCGGTTGGCATCGCGCCGATGGAGCTGGGATTCGCAAGTCTAATTTGGCGGGCCCCTGGGGGCGACGAGTGGTTTGCGCGATGGCGGCAGTGCGAAAGGCATTCTACTCCGCGCTTATCCTGCCTTCGCCGTCTGTGCATGACCACGGATGCGACCGACATCGCCGCAGGGAGGATGCAGCGATGGGAGCAATGGCTACGCCGCGGCGTCTTAGGGCGCAGGGTGGGCACGCCCGGGTACTTTGCGTATTTTCTGGGTTCCCCCCCGTCGATTGGATGGCCCCGCAGCTTTCCGACGGTCGCCCAACTGCTCGGGCGACGCTTTGGGTCCGACGAGTTGCAGCTGACCTGGATCGCGTGGCTAAGCTCCTCCCATGCATCTGAAGGGGTGCGAGAGGTCGCTGGGGACTTATTTGCTTGCTAAGTCAGAGGCTTCCGGAATGCTTAGAGGGTTTACTGGTTTGGAACTGCGCAGTCAGCTGCTCTCCGTTTGCCCCCCCCTCTTGGGCATGGCCCCCCACCTGAGCCCCTGCGAGAGGCTCGCGATCATGCGGGGGGGGAGAGGCGCCCGTCCGCTCGCCCAGTGGACTTCGACGGGAGGTCCTGCGAGGGCACCCTCAGTACCCGGAAGGAGCCGGTTGAGCATCTACGCCATTGTCATCATCTTAGAATTCTGGCACATGGGTAAACTTCATGTCGCGCGTGCAGTTACAGCCGGCAAAAGTGGTCGGTCCCTGTAGCGGCCGCCCGACGCCTACTGCAGTTCCTGCAGAAGGGAAGCTGCGCCACGCGTGGGCCCCGTGCGCCGGGCCCGATCGCGACCCCTGCTTCATGCGCGCAGCAGGTTTGCGGGCAAGGGTGCTCTCTCACTCTGTCGCCATCTCCGATGCCATCTACCCCTTCGCATTGAGCCCTTCAGGACATCTCGCGGCGTTGCCGCAGATGCCAGAGGATTCCCCCGCGTCAGCCGAGGCTCCCCCGGGGCCCGCTCGGCGCGGCGGAGCGTCGGCCTCCGCCGTTGGCGCGGTTGAGCCCGACGCCGCGAAGCTCGAGCAGACGGGGTCGGGCGGCCAGGCCCAGGGCAAAATGCCAGTCGACAAGATCCTCAGGGCCATTTCCGCGCTGGTCCTGGTCGACGGTCGAGGGCCTTCTGGGATTGGGGCCGCCTGCTGCTCGCGACGCGAGATGGGGGCCGGCCAGGGCGCGATCGCCGCAGCAGACGCAACGCGCGAAGCAAAGATGTGACACAAATGCGCAGGCACTGGACATCAGCTGAAATACAAAGAAACAGGCCCACCTCACCTCATGAGCTTCACGGCAGCACGGGGGCACGGAGCTGCCGGGGGAGCTGCAGAAGAGACGCGCCAAAAGGCGCCTCGGAAAGCAGAGAAGCTCAAGCGGGACATGGGGACGCTGTGGGGCGATCAGCTCAGCGAGCGCGGCCGGTCCGAGGTCGGTCGCGCAGTCCAGCGTTCCAGGGCGAGGCCCCGCTGCGAGGTGGAGAGGCAGAAGGCAATGCGCGCGCTTCTCTTCGAGATGGCCATTCGCCGCTCCCCGGGCGCTATCGGGGGCCGATGCCGGGGCGCTCGCGGCAGCGGATGGGGGGGCCCTTGGGCCGCGCCCCGCGGCCCGCTGGAGAGAGAGAGAGAGAGAGAGAGAGAGAGAGAGAGAGAGAGAGAGAGAGAGAGAAAAGAGAGAGAGAGAGAGAGAGGCAGAGAGAGAGAGAGATAGAGAGAGAGAGAGAGAAAAAGAGAGAGAGAGAGAGAGAGAGTGAAAGAGAGAGAGAGAGAGAGGGGAGAGAGAAAGAGAAAGCGAAAGAGAAGGAGAAGGAGAAAGAGAGACATTGCGAAGCATCTGGGTCGCAAGTAGGTTGCAGTAGTAGTAACATCGTTGAGAGGAGGCGCGAGATGATAAGCAGCAGCTCTCGAGTAGCAACACTTCGGCAGTCAGCATCAATCATGAGCAGCTGGAGAGAGCGGTCAACATACCTCCCTAGTGTCTTCCAGAAAGGGTTCGCGGTTCAGATGGCCCCCGAGATCCCAGTGATTTGCGCGCGTCCAGGTTGCTCAGCGTGGCGGGCGACGTCTCGGGGCGCGTCGCAGGGGCCGTGGAGCGCGCGGCCAGGCAGCTCGGCGGGCTTTCAAGGCTTTTAACAAGGCGGCGGCAGAGCTCTGGCTGCGCGTCCGCGCCCGCAAGGCCACGGCGATGGCCGCGTCCAATGGGCCCAAGCCCGCTCCCATGAGCCAGAAGGGGTGGGCGCTTGAATTCGTCGACTTCGTCGACGCCCGCCGCGACCCTCGGATGGGGGCGCGACTTCAGGCTCGCACGAGCGAGTGGCGGTCGCAGCAGGTGGAGAGGCGGCCGCCCGCCCTGAAGGCCGCAAGCTACGGCGCCTCTTCAGGCCCGACGAGGCTACAGCGAGGATCCACCGGGCGGGCCCGACGGCCAAGGCCACTTGGGAATCTGCCGTCACGGGGGCCCCCGACGGCCGCCTCCGCGCGCGTCGCGCGGGGCGCCTCCCGCGGGAGGCGGCCCTGGGTCTCGCGAGTCTGACCCTCCCGGCGGGCTGGCAGAGGGGCCCGCCGGCCGTCGAGACGGCGGCGGCCGTCGCGCCCCGCGCGGAGTGCACGGCGCGCGCCCTCGCACGGCACGGCGCGCGCCCTCGCGGGCGGACCTCCTTTTGGAGGGCACGGCGCGCGCCCTCGCAGCCAAGGGCAACGCCGCCGCGATGGCGCCGCAGCCATGGAGGTTGGTGAAGAACCCGATCGCTGCCCTCATCCTTACTATGCGCAGGATCGGCTGGGCGCATGAGGGCGACGACCCGCGCGTCGCCGTGGGCGCCGCGGGCAGCCGCCGCAAAGTCCGCAGGCAGCCCCCGCCCTTCTTCGGCAGCCCAGCCAGACGCGAGCGTCGCAGGGCCCTCGGGCTGGAGGAGGTTGACCGCCAGCATGCGGGGCCGGCCCATCCGGCCCCCATTCAGAACGTCTACTGGAGCCAGGCCAGGGTAGCGTCCCATCATGCGCGCATCCCTTCGAGCTGCCTGGCATGCGGCCAGCCGAGGTGCGCGCTGCGCCGCCGCCGCCGCGCCTGCGACGCCCATGCGGCGTGGCGGCGCGACTTCCTTGACAGCGAGCTGAGGCAGGTGGCCGAGGAGGTAGCCGAGCTCGGCGAGCCGTTCACGGAGCCGTTCGCCAGAGGGCTTTTCGCGGATGTCGGCGAGCTCCGCGAGAGTCCGCCGGGGACGCAGGAGATGGAGTTCGTCTGCGCCAGGGGCTGGCGCGACATCGGACCCATCCTCGAAGACGGTGCCTAGGTCTTCTTGGACGGCTCGGGGTTCGACCAGGAGCGCCCCTGGCTTAGGGCGGCGGGCTGGGCGGCCGTGATCTGCGGCAACCAAAGGCGGTTTCGGGCCGCAGCCTGGGGGGCGGTGCCCCACCCAGGCCGAAGGGCCCGACCAGCTCCCGCGAAACGTGGGGGATTTCGCTGTGAAGATGCTCGTCAGCGTGGCGTCGGTGGGGAGGTACAAGCTGCGCGTCGACTGCCTGGCCACTGGCCACGGCCCGCTGCGCCGTCGCCCCCCTGGAGGCCGCGGGCCCTAGCGCGCCGAGGGCCCACCTCTGGGCGGCGGCAGCAGACCGTTTGGAGGGGGTCGAGACTGCGCAGGTAAAGGCCCGCCTCGGGCAGCAGGCTGTCCGAGAGGGCGCCCGCGCTCAGAAGGGCTTCGACGGCAACGGGAGGGCATGCGAGCACGCCAAGAAGGGAGCGGCCCTCGCGCGCGCTGTCCAAGACGACGTCTTAGCGGTCAAGGGCCGCCACTACATCGCCAGAGAGGCCGCCAGGCATGCAGGCGCCATGGAGGCGATGCTGGGGGCGGGCCAGATCCGCGACATTATGGGAGTGGCTGCTCTCAAGGTGATTGATTTCGGGGGGCTCCCTTCGGAAACCGACGAGGAGGTGGTCGTCGAGACCCCAGCTGGAGCACGCGAAGTCGCCGGCCCCCCCCCGCCGACTGCGGCCTCCGCCGGGCACCCTGGGGTGGCTAGTGCTGGGCCCAGGCGCCGCCGCGACGCCGTCAGGTCTGCCCCGGGGGCTCCGGCCTCGTGCGTCCAGGGGGTCTTGAGCTTGGCGCCGCTGAAATTTCACGGCCACCGCATCCTTCATCCCTGAG